TCCAGTTCCTCACTGAGGCCCTGGTATTTCTCCAGTTTCTCATGCTCCTTTTTCCTGATGTTGTGGTCACTTGGTATTGCGACATCCACCACATGTCGCAATATATATATACAGTATATTAGTGTTGTAGTACTTGAAACCGGTCTTGGTCTTAAGACCGGTCTCAAGACCACTTTTTGATGGTCTTGGTCTTGTGTCGGACTCAACAGCATCTGTACTCAGTCTTGTCTCGGTCTCGGACATTGAGGACTCGGAATTTTATTTCAAGACCAGTCACACTGCAAAAACTGTCCATCTTATCAAGTTTTAAAATCTTATATCAGCCAAAAAGTCTTTTTGATCTTGTTTTGAGACTGATTTACTAAACAAGAACTGATTGTGTAAGAATAATAATCTTGTTTTCAGAATGTGTCAGATTATTTGTCTTGTTAGCCTGAAATTTTGACTCATTTTAAGTCAAAAATTTCTGCCAATGGAGTAAGATACTTTTACTTGGTAAGACTTTTTGAAATACTTGATTTGACTCAATTTTTTCTTATTTCAAGAATCTTACCAAGTAAAAATTTCTTACTCCATTGGCAGAAATTTTTGACTTAATTTGAGTCAAATTTTAAGGCTAGCAAGATAAATAATCTGACACATTCTGAAAACAATAATACTATTCTTACACAATCAGTTCTTGTTTAGTAAATCAGTCTCAAAACAAGATCAAAATGACTTTTTGGCTGCAATAAGATTTTAAAACTTGGTTAGGTGGACAATTTTTGCAGTGAGACCACAACAGTGGAAATATCACTAAATGGCCAGAATGTTGTGTCCAATTTACTTGTTAACAGTCTTGCTTTCATTGGATTTAAAACATACTGATTCAAATCCAAACCTGACTCATTACATGACTACATTATTCATAAATAATATCATTGTAAAACAACAACAACCAAGAGAAAGCGTACAGCAACTTGTAAATTCGGCAGTGCTTCACTTTCAGAGACAATGGGGACAACTTTAAACTTTTACTGTCACTAACGTTAGCAATCTGCCTCTGTAGAAAAATTCTTTCCTCTTCCCTCACACAAAGATTTTGTCAATATTAGCTCTACATATTAAGTTAGCTAAAGTGGGACAAAAAAGTGTTTAGTCAGCACCAATTGTTCAAGTTCTCCCACTTAAAAAGATGAGCGAGGCCTGTGATTGACATCATAGTTAGACCTCAACTATGAGAGACAAAATACCTTTTTCCCCCACTGTACATGTGTACACAATACTCCATCTTTTAGGAAACATTTTTCTTGGTCTTGATCTCGACTTGGTCCAAACCCTAAAAGTCTTGGTCTTGGTCTCACCCTCCYTTGGTCTTGGTCTYGACTTGGTCCAAACCCTAAAAGTCTTGGTCTTGGTCTCACCCTCCTTTGGTCTTGGTCTTGACTTGGTCCAAACCCTAAAAGTCTTGGTCTTGGTCTCACCCTCCCTTGGTCTTGGTCTCGACTTGGTCCAAACCCTAAAAGTCTTGGTCTTGGTCTCACCCTCCCTTGGTCTTGGTCTTGACTTGGTCTCACCCTCCCTTGGTCTTGGTCTTGACTTGGTCTCACCCTCCCTTGGTCTTGGTCTTGACTTGGTCTTGGGTTAGATGGTCTTGACTACAACACTAATTTACATACATTCATGCATGCATTCATGCATACTGTAGATACTGTATATACACACAGACATATATACACACTCAGTGACCAGTCAGATCCCCCCGGATCAGATCACTTGTGAGCGGTTGTGAACATGCGTGTAAATACAAGATTTCTCCAATGGAATGTTTAATGTTGACTTTGGAGGACCGAAGACCCAACCCCCAAGACACGAGGCAGACATAGGGAAGACCAGAGCCCAAGGACCCAAGAGGGATCCCGAGCGCAGAGCCCCAAGGGGCACCCACACGGGAAGATCCGCCCACCCATCCCCCAGATCAGACCATAGCGGAGAACTGGGAGAGTCCCCCCCAGCGACCACAAGCACAGCCCCCGGGGCCAGCAGCGACAAACTCATGGGCCCCACCGGCACCCGCTACACCAGAGCAGATCCAGGCAAGGGCACAGAGGTCCGGTCCACTGTTCTAGAACAAAAGCAGCACGGTTATTCCTGTTGGGCAGTCAATCGGAGCCTCCCTTCCAACATGTCGACACGCTGCAGGAAACAAATTTTGCTTCATCTATTTTCCTCAAAAGCACCTTCTAGTGCTCACTGACATTTCCCTCAGAGACCCGCCGTCCCCTCGTTGCTTCATGTTCCACCTCAAGGACGGTTTTGTGCTGTTTAAAGCAGAAAATAGAGCTTTGTCCTTTGTAAAAGTGATTTAAACTGGTAGTGCCCCTGTCACTGGCCGCCGTCTCTCCTCCAGGCCAAAGCCATCTTATCAGTGGGCGAGCGCAGACCTCGGGGCAGAGCACTACACGCTCTGAAGCACAGGTTCAGTGAATTAATTAAATTCATCTGAATTAGCGAGACAGTCTGCGCTGTTTATGAGGTGACTTGTCATTTGCTTTGGCGTGAAGGTGTGCCCTCTTCACTGACAGTAAAAAAAGATTTCAGTTTTTTGTTTTTGCCACATTTAAACCTTTTTCTGTCCCTGTAGATGTATCCAAGAAAGACAGAATGATAGAAATCATGTGAGCAATTGCAGAAGTGCCTACCGTATTGATCCATATTGATTATACATTTGCATAATGTACTAATGCTAATTGAATGATGGCACTTGCGCAGCTGTAGCGTTTCTCTTCGCTGCTCTTGAGCTGAATTTCACTGCGGTAAAGAGATTAGTTTATTGAGCAAGGAGTGTCTTCGCAGTTAAGGGCTCGTGACGTCGATAATTGTTTGTTTTGTCGGCTTCTGCTACTCTGACACAGCTTGTCACGCTCGTCTTTAGTGCGTTTGTTTGTGCAACACTCAAGCACATTCTGTTTACCGTGTTGCAAAATTTCCGAGTATTTATTGCCGAATACAGCAGGAATATGTATCTTGCAGTAGCTGCTAAAAAAAGCCTGATGTGAAAAATAAAAAAGCAACAAAATGGAAACATTTAACCACGAGTTGCACCTCTTGCTTTCACCATCCATGACAGCTGAGGGTTTCTTATTCTGTTTCTTTTTGTCTCCCTTCTGCCTTTTTGTTTCCCCCAAATGTTTAATTCTCTGTGTAAAAGTGTTTGTGATTATCATTGCTACAAYGAGCAGGTGAATTTCATAAGATTTCATCCACACAGACTTCAAACTTGTTATTTTTTTTAGATTTCTTTCACAAATTAAARCCTCTGTCAACTAGATTTAGTTTCAAATATAATGATGTTTTGGGCTTTTATTTCCCAWCGTTTGATGCAATACTTATCAATGGATACTACATTTTTTATGAGGTGAGTTTTAAGCCTTTGTATGACTTGTTTCTGATTTTTTTCTTCTTTTTGATCACTCAACATAATTAGAAACATCTGTCTTTGATGTTTCACACAGTTGTTTTTTTATTTGCTTTATTGAAAACTCTGTTTTGGATTTAGATTCACATCATGGGTCGGATTAAATCTTGTCATCTGTGTTCACTGAAGAAGTCACATAAGCATCAGTTCATTATTCAATGTCAGCGGTAATTTCAGGAATATAAAAGTAAGTTTTGATAAATTACCTCAACAAGTTTGCTCATGTTACCTTACTTTTGTCATGTTCATAACGACTGTTATCTATCTTCATGAACAGTATGAAAGAAAGAACTCTAAACAGCACCAAAACCAAACCCTAAACAGGAATGGATGACAGCACCTCTGCAGGGAGGCTTCCAAATGCCTGGTTCACAAGGCAAGATTTTAAAATTCTCAGTGGATTTTCAAAGACTGAGACCCCACCCATGAGGGGAAATCTTGCGGGACCTTTTGAAATCATGCAAGATCATGCGAACATTCAGACAGGAATTCTCATGAGATCTCTCGAGATCAAACGTGAGTTCAAAGTAAATAAACATTGCAGATGAGGAAGAAGCAGTGGCCGTAGTTTGTGGTAGAAAAACAATTCAAAAACACGTCTCCAACATCCAGTGGACTTTCTGGTGCTCCATGGCAGTTGTTTTGTCTTCTGTATTTTGGATTCCCCTCCATGTTTATGTCGCTCTACTTTCTAATTGGCTACATGTCACATTCAACAGCCTGCATGTTTATATGTCCTCAGGGGAACACCACAGACCATTGGAATTCAGGCCAAGACAATCTAGCATGTTGAATATCCCTGATTTGAAACTGGAGCAGTTCCGACATCCTTCTGAGCCGACTAGATCACTCTTAACTCACCCCACACAGCAGAAATATATATTAAAATTATCTTTAGAAACATCATGATTATAGAAGTGTACTTAAAGGCACAGTGTGTAGGATTTTGTCAATCCTTTTAGCTGAAATTGAGATAATCACTAATGACAATAATAAAAAAACATGTCTAATC